CCCCTATCTCAAAATAAAAAAATAAAAGAGAAGCTGGGGCTGTAGCCCCGTGGCAGAGCGCTTGCCTAGCATGTGTGAGGCACTGGGTTCAATCCTTAGCACTGCATAAAGAACTAAACAAATAAAGATATGCTGTCCATCTACAACTATAAAATAAAAAACATAAGAGGAGCTGGGAATATAGCTCAGTGGTAGAGTGCCCCAGAGTTCAATCCTCAATACCACCCCTCCAACACATAAAGAAAGAAAAGTAGACTGGGTTTACATATAGATACAAGGAATTTCTTTCTTTTTCTCTGTCAAATAAGCATATCAAATATATAAGTGTTAAGCATTATCCTTACTTCTGAGGGTACACGAATAAAAATTCAGTCATAGACCTGAAGGGGCTCATAATTCAGGGTTTAAATGTTTAAGAATAAAGACAAGTACCAGGTGCAACTTGAGGAAGAGGGGCTGATTAACACTGGGTGTCAGGAAAGTATCCATAGTGATGGTGTTTGAGTCTTTGAAAATACCAAATGGACACCAAGAGGATCAAAGCACCAGAAAATAAAAACTGAATATTTCCAAGATGCAAAACAACCTGAGAGTTTAACAAAAGCCCATGGATACAAGTAAGGATCAAGAGATGGAGGAAGAATGTTGGTCCTATCAGTAATTTACTGGTGTATCTACTTCTTTCAACAGCTCAGATTTCCCCCAAGCGTTCTTTAGCTTCAGGGTGCCTTCTAAATAGAAGATGAAAATATTATTATAAAACCCACTTAAATAAACCTCCTATATGAAAAAGTCAACTCTTTCCAATTTGTTGAAATAGGAGAGTTATAATATTTATTTCATCAAGAGGGTGTGAGGCTTAGTCAGGATTAATTTATTTCATTATTCCTTCTAGGGTACTTCAAAATTTATATAATCCCTTATGTGGTTTGTAGGAACAGACTTCATGAGATTTTGATGAGAAATATTATGAATATTTCATCAGGGTTTTGCATCATTCTTTCAAGTATAAGCTTTTCCCAGTCCCTCCCTCATCACAAGGTACCTAGCTCAATGAGAGCTTCCCAAATGCAAGCCTTGGCCAATCCACTTTCCATGCTGCTGCCTCTTTCAACACTCCAGAACCTTCTTTAATAGTAGGGCCCTCTACCTCCTCTATGCTTAATTCTTGATACTCTTAGAGCATATACTGTTCACATGCTTATGTTTCCCCAAGTAGATTGTGAACAGCCAGAGGTTATCAACTACCTTTCTTTGTCCTTTGATTCTCTAGCATCTTATACAAGAACTAGCAGACAAGAAAGGATTAAATAAAGTTTTATCAAGTGAATGAGTGCTCGAACCCTTTGCTCTGGTTACAAGGTAAAACCCAGCCTGTGCCACCTGAGGATGTGTCCACTTTCCTAATTTTCTTTTGGCTATTCACCTGCCCAGCATGTCCCCTTTCTGACGAACTACGGGCATCTATTATTTAAGGCAGGGGTTCTCAACCTTGGCTGCACGTTGCAATCACTTAGGCTAGCCTTATAAATAAAATGAACATTGATGCATGGGCTCCTACCCCATCCCTGGCAGAAATTTAAATTTCATTGGTCAGGGTGGTGGCCAGGTATTAGTATTTTATAAATGCTTCTGTGATGAGTCTGAAATGCAGTGAGGTTTGAGATTCCCTTGGTTTAAGGTGATACTCAGGTCCCACCTTCTAGAAAGACTCAAGGTATCTTTGATAGTTTCACCTTCCTTAGGATTCAAAGTATGTACTTTTTTTAACCATTCATTAGATAAAAAATAAAATGCTTCCTTGTGACTATATTTCAATATTCCTTAAGTTCTTTAACTCCTGTACTGTATTTGGTTGTTCACGAGTCTGTATATATGTATCATCTTCGTCCCTACGCTGGAAGCAATTTGAGGGCCAGAACTGTGTCTTCTCCTTCCTGGCATCCCCATGCCATGTACATCATGGATCCAGATATATTTTTGATTATTTAAAACAATTGCAACAACAACAAAACTAGTAGAGGTCACTTTAATGCTACTCTAAGGACATGTCTTATCTGATAAGAATAAAAATGTTGCAAAAAGGGTGGAGCAGGATTGAAGCAGAGTAGGACAATGGTAAATGAAAGTCCAATGGAAAAAAAGGCTAAATTAATCCAAAAGAAAATGCTTCCCAGTTTCTCAAGAGGGTTTTCCCAAATACTGAAGCAGATAAACAAGAGAATTAACTTGGCTTGTGATCTGATAAGGAGACTTCTTTTTTAGTTATATAATTTTACACAGTTTCCAGGGTGTAAAGAAAAAAATCAGCCAGGAGGACTCCTTCCCTTCAATTCAGCTCTTGGGTTAATCAGATTGAAGATTGTTCAGCTTGACCTGACCTCCTTCCAGGCCCTGTGATCCCAGACTAAGCCTCACACTGAAGAGCCCTGGTGTAGAGCTCAATGTCATAGAAACGGGATGAAATATAATCCTTATTCCATAACCTTGATCCCTTGGTGTAGCAGCTTCTACTTGTGGACTAAAAAAACTCCAACAAACAGAAAATTATACTTGATATCTTCTCCAAGGTGCTGGTGTCCCACAGGTATGACTGTCCTATAATGACCAGGCACACTTTCCAAGTAAGTAGAATCATAAGAAAATATTTTTTGGTGTTATTACCTGAAAGCCTGGCTTTAAAGTATTGTTTGTGTACATATCACTGAAAAGGCTTATCTTCACATGGCTTCAGTACTTGGTCATGAAGTAAGACCACAGGAAAGCCTCACGGAATCACTAAGCCTGCCCTCTGCTGAGGCAAGATAAGGCCATCAGGCAGAGACATGTTTTTTACATCAAATTTCATTCTAGTTATTGGGTCACAAATTGAACAACTCATTCCCCAAAGCATGCTTATTTCTATAGTGTAATTAAATGTATGTCCTTTTGCTTGTTTTGGTCATTTTTACACTGGTAATATTTAACATTAATTGTTAATTATTGTTTGAAAATATGATTCAAAGGCATTTAAGTCTGCCTCTGATTGATTAGTAATGATAGTACAAGTTGTCCTTCATAGATTAAGATAACATCACTGACCCATCTAATAGGATATGAGTTGATAGACTGTCACTGATCCAGCCACACTTTGCCCCTAGTTCTTCTTGTGACCAGTGGCCTGCATTTGACCTTATCAACCAAGAGCAAAGAGCCAACTAAATCCTCCCATTACCAAAGAAATGCAAAATAATAGCATTTGTCCTCCCAGCCACTTCCTGTTGACACTGACAAAATGTAAAGGACTGGATTTTTTAGTTATTATAAGGAAACGACAAATGTGGCTCTAACTTCTTTATCTACTTGAAAATTCTAACTGGAATTAGTAAAACTAGGGTCTAGGAGCCTCGAATTCATGATACTGTATATAAGAGATCAAATCACAAATTCAGGGTGTATTACAGAAAGAATGCCAAATAAAATCTAAAACAGATTTGGAGGAAAAAATAAACAAACAAACCCACAGGCATAAACTATAGGCTTTTAAGAAGTGGGTAAAAAATTCATGAAAATGAATGAATCAACACTGATTCACAAGGAATTTTGCTTCCTCTAATGCAATTTAGAAATACTTGACAGTCCTTAGTGATATCTCTGATAGCTGCAAACAAAGTTTATTTATCATGATTTACTACCTAGGGTACAAACCAAAGGTCATTAGGTTCTCCAGGAATATTTTTGGGTATGTTCCACTAGGAGAGAAGTGATGGAGCCCAGGATACCAGAATCACTGGGGGAAAGGTATCATTGAGGTAATGAGCATGCCAGGGCCTGAGAACATAAGAATGCTTCCTGAACAGAAATAAGTCCATCTATCTTCTCAGAACAGGGCTGACCTAGTCACCAAGCTGGAATGTTATTTACACAATCCCAAGAAGACCTAGAATCCTCTGTTCTGTAACCAGGGCATTCATAAAGTTATGTCTGGAACAGGCAAAGACTCATGTCTGTTTTTCATAATTCCTGTCTCCTTGAAAAAGAGCCAATTTACCTAATGCAGGTAAAGGCAACAACACCCTACCTCCCATGTCCAGAAAGGACCACCAGTGCAATAGTTCATACTCTTTAATTAATAACCTGAATTTGCCATATACTTAGCAAGTTGGGCAAATCTGGCTTCTGAATTCTGCCCCATTCAAAACAACCTTTTTCTTTCTGCATACAGAAGAGATTGTGATTAAATCTGGTGACATAGCAGGATAAAGTCAAGGTAAGACATTAGAAAAAGAATTTCCTGATTATGAAAAACATCAGGCTATGGTATTCCTTTCTCTGGAGTACGAGAGAAGATGGAAAAAGGGGTAGACAGTATAGCTTTCTGGATGGAAGTGGGGGATTCTTACTTGGGGCCAGGATAGAAACTGTAAATAGGGAGCTCTGAGGAAGTCATTATCCTTTCCAAGGTCTCTCTGGCACCATTCAGTACTTTACACTACAGGCTTATGTAGTAATGTAAAAGTACCAGGATCTGGGGAAAAGTTCATTCACTTAGCAGGATCTATTTGGGCTAAAGTTCTCTCTCTTCTCTCTCTCTCTCTCTCATTCTCTCTCTCTCTCTCTCTCTCTCTCTCTCTCTCTCTATATATATATATATATATATATATATATATACATATATACACACACACACACACACATCTCACATATATGATAATCTCACTAAAAACACAGTCAATATTTAATTTACAGACAAATTATCTAGAGGTGTGGTTCTTGGTTATTGCAAATATCAGGGAACATGCTAACTTCCCGTGATTTATTCTTACATTGTTTTCCAGTATGTGACTACTGCCCTCACTTCACTATAACTACCAATGAGTAAGCAAGGTTTCTCAATGCACTCTTGCCAGTGTTGGCCCAGGATGGACAAAGTAGCCATCACTTTCAGAAGATCCTCTGATTTCTCGGTACATCTTGTTTTCTAACCTTGACAATGAAGATAACACTGACAAAGAACTCACCTGTCTTCTCTCTGAATCAAGGGACTGGAGAATCAGCCTGGTGTTCACACTGTGACTCCAAGTGTTTCCTAGGGCGGCAATTACACAGCTGGATTCAGAAAAGCCTGAAATGAGATGGCAAAACCATGCTTATGAATGCCCTTTCTTCAAATAGTATTTTACATAAAAAATGTCCAATTAGTACTTGTTGCTTAGATAGTACTCAGAGGCTTGGTTCATAACCACAGAAGTCAATAAATTAGAACAGGAGGACGGGGTTAAGAAGCTTGAGACTGAAAATAAAAACCAGCATGTGTTTCCTTCAACCTCTGTGAAAGTGACAACCACTGGGCCAAACAATAGCAGTTATATGCCAATGAGGTTGCATTGCAAAGCAGCTTGGAGCCATTGCTAATAATCAATCAAGCTCCCCAACATTCATGGCAGAAAAGCATTAAGAGCCAGTATGAAATAGTCTTAATTTAATAGTTAGAATTTTTTTAGCTTGATAAAAATCTTAACTTAATTTTTCTTATCAAATAGAAAAAAATGGCAGCATATACACATAGAATTCCTTTGCCCTCCTACCCACTGTACACATATACACACCCAGAAGGGGAATCTGGAAGATCTTGACATTTCACTTCTAGTCTATTTTAGACAGCCCTATTCCAAGAGAAACATGCTTTTAACTTCTAAGACTTTCCTTTTAGGGAGAGGATCTGAAGTAAACTTCATCTGAGTTCCACGTTTACTCCAACTTGCACTAAATGACTCTCTTCCATCTCTAGTTTCACTGATTACTCTTGACATGACAAGAAGAAAACCATTTCCACTTCTTTCCCATCTTCTTCTTCCACAGGGGAAATTCTCCAAGTCCTACCACGAGAAGCCAACCTCCACTATCATGTCTGGTGCATCCTGAGGTCTCCTCTGAACTCTCTTGCCCTCTTTGGCCCTTGGGCCATGGCAGGAATCCTGGCCTGGGGCCATGGATGTTGCACATTTCTCCTGCCTCATATCTTCCAGATAGCATTTCTTTTCAGCAAGGAGACTAAGGCAGAGAGACTGAAGTCCACTGAAATATCTAAAACAAAACTAGGCCTTAGTGTCTCATTTTTATCCCCTGCTTGCATCATTTGATATGTACCCCTCAGTATGGAATAGGAATTGGTCCTTTTTCCAAGCCAGATATCCTTCAGGGTAGTCTGTCAATTGCACATGGCCTTAATTGTCTGGGTCCAAATGCTACAGTGGATAAATGCCATTCAGTGGCTATTAGTCGGAGGCAACTTTGTTGGAAATGTCTAATTGAGAGTGTTACGGGCATCTAGAGGGTAGAGACTGTTGAAGCCATTAAACATCCTGGGAAGTCCCATGACAAAGAATTATCCAGCCCCAAATAGAACAGTACTAGGTTGAGAACCCCTGGGTTAGATAATACCAGTCACATATATCTTTCCTAGTTCAAGCAGGTCCAGGTATAATTAAGATGGAAATCAATAACATTTCTCAACAAATGGAGATTTTAGCTTGAAGGAGAATTTACTATAGGAAAGAATAAGGGGTAGCCTTGGATCATCATGGACACTATTCAAAACATGCATAAATTAATGTGAACACAAATAAGGTTCACATTTGATCTGTCCCATTCCCCTATTTAAAATCCTCAGTAATGCTCTATGCCTGAGGATAAAATGTCTACTCCTGAACAATGCATTCTGGGCACTTCATCATTTGCCTCCCTCTCTAAGGTCTATCACTGAATGGTTCACTGTGACCTCCTGACTTCTTTGTCCCCATCCTCCTTGACCTCTTGTCAGCAGCTGATAGAGCATTCACTCTACCAGCCTTCTCTGCTTCTCCTTTTACATGTTGATTACTTCTTTTCCTGCCCTGTCTTTTTCTCCCTCTCTTCTTAGCTGTGGTGGACCTCAGGAAGCTTGGGAGACCAGATTTTTCCCCCTAATACCAAATGCCTTCAGTGGCTAAGAAGGTAAAGGTAATATATGTACATTAGTAAAGAGCCCAGGTGTTGATCAATTAATATGTAAAGGTCTGTATTAGCATTAAGAGAGGTACTCCCTTCTATTCTTTTTGAAATATACAGTCTACCTTTCATTTTCCACTTCTTGATAAAGACAATTTTTTTCTGCTATAGGAAAATCAACACTTCAGGGGCAATAGCAACTATATTTGCATTTTAAAAAGTAGCTTTATATGTGTGAGATAATTCACACATCATAAAATTCACCCATGTGAAATGTACAGTTCATTGGCTTTTACTGTACTCAAAGTATCATTCAACAATCACCACAATCAACTTCAGAACATTTCATCAGCTCCAAAAGAAATCCCACATCCTTTAACCACTGTCCTGGGCACCCCATCCTTTGTCCCCAGCTCCAGGCAACCATTAATCTACTTTTTATCTCTATAGACATCAAGGGATATCAGGGAGGTGAATGGGAATGGGGACTGTGGTGAGAATGCATCCAGGATCTCCAGGGGCAGCCTCTGTTGTCATGTAGCAATGCAGTTCATAATTAACCACACCTTTTGATGTTTTTAAAAGAGAAGCCAGAAAACAATATTTTATGTAAAATTTCCTGATTTTTAAAATGTTAGCTTAATCTTAAAATTTTTGAGTTTTTAAGAACACACAAACATACTTGTGAGCCAGATAGTCTTGTTCTCATCAAGCTAGCAATGTCTGCTCCATACAGCATAATCTCACTGTTGACAAGCCCTGTGCAGGTGATTTCTAAGAATCTGTTTCAACCTCTGACTTGTCCCAGCACCTGTTCTCCATTTTCAACCACAAGAACTGCAAGTTGGACATATGAATTTTAGACTGTCATTTCAATATCTTCAAAGCAAGCTCATAACTTCCAATATAAATGTACTCTTCCTTTTCTGTTCTCTTCTTCAGTCTTCCAATTACCTGGTTTGAAACTTCAGTTTAATTTTTATGTTTCTTTTTCTCCTATGCCTTTTACTTCAATAATGTTCACATTTGATCTGTCCCACTCCCTTATTTAAAGTCCTCAGTAATGCTCTATGCCTGAGGATAAAATGTCTACTCCTGTACAATGTATTCTGGGCACTTCATCATTTGCCTCCTTCTCTCTGGCCTCATCTCTCTAAGGTCTATCACTGAATGGTTCACTATGACCTTCTGTGAAGTCCTATTGATTTATCTGATTTATTTCACTTACATCCTCCTCCTACCTTCCATCTCTCCTACTCCACATTAGTTTCTACCTAAGAATGACCAGGTTAGATTTCTACCTGATGTTCTTGCTGCTGTCAGCTTCTCCATACTGAAGACCATCCTCTATTTTCCTCCCTGATGACCATGGATAATTCCCCCAATTGAAGATGTTTTCAAGCATGCATAAGCACACTACTGTGCCACTTAAAACCAACATGCTAAAAAACTTTCAATGGCTCCCAAATGACTTCAAAGAAAATTTTAAGTTCCTAAGATGGACATTCAAGGGCCTTCACCCTGTGCTCAACCTGCCTTTTGTGCTTCTTTTCACTCCACTTCACATAGCCTTTGCTCCAATTTAATCACCCCAATTCCCTTCTTTGTCTGGAATGCTCCTACATCCACATGTCCAAGACCTACCCTGCCTGCAATGCCACAGTCCACGTGCTGACTTCTCTTATTGTTAGAGAAATAATATCTTCCTCCTCTAAACTTCCATAATACTTTACTTCACTCTTTGAATTGGGCACATTCTATCATGGTATAATATTTGTGTGCTTTTCTTATCACCCTTAGTATATATTTTAAAAGGGTTAGATGTATTTCTAATTTATACCAGCATGTCTGACTGAATGCAAAATGTGAGACCCAGAGGATACTTAAAGAGTGATTAAATCACTAATAGGTTATTTCACTAAACTTTGAGCCATCTTATATACTTGTTATAGCAGTGCATTAAATTATTAATCCTATCTTGCTTAAGTTAAGATTATCAGATTTACCTTTTACAAGCAAACTCTAGAATCAAGTTGCTTACAATGTCTGTTAAAGGATAGGATAATGAGAGGATACGCTTTAAAGTTTGCCAAGAAAAAGCTACATGTGAATAATTGGGAGTTGCTAATTGGTTAGGCACTCTTTTTTTAGATAAACTGGAGGAGATTCCCGGGTCTAAAGGAAGACACGGGATGTTTTCAGTGGTCAGAGCTGCATTTGGGCCAGTAGCAAGTATTTAAAGAACTCCATGACACTAAACCAATTAAAGCAGCATAAAAAGTACAATATTCTTGCCTCCTCAACAGGTTAACTCAGGTCCCAACTACGGGCCATGAGTGCAAATGACCATAGAAGCATTTCCAATGAAAACTGAGTAAGATTGAGATGTATCTCCAGGAGTCCTTACAAATATCATGCCACTGTAAGAGTAACAGCAGCAAGGCCTTGAAAGTTAATGATGCTAAAGACAATGTTTTTAAAAGTACTATACACTGGGCACTGTGAAAGTCTTTTTATCAGGGGCTTACATACTGTTTGAGTTTCATATCTTACATCTTTTTTGATCTTCACAGCAACCCTGTGAGATACATAATGTTATTCCTATTAACATTATCTGAGGGTCTAAGAGTTAAGTCACTCCTTCAAGGTCACATGGCTGGTTAAATCTTAACCACTACTCCTAATTGCCTTATCCAGGCTCATTATATCTCTTAAGTCAAATATCCTGTTATTGTGCTAAGTCAATGGGGGCCCTAGGGAGGGCTTGGAGAGCTCAAAGGCCCATCTCTTTGGATGACACTGGCAGAGGTATGTTGTGAACATCTTATCACTCATCTGAACTCTGAATGTCACTAGGGCTTCACACTCAGCTTCCTCTGTTCTGATGTACTTTGATAACCTAGGGCAAGAGGTTTCCAGAAAGATAGCACATGTCCTGGCTCTGCAAATTATTTAACCTTGCTCAATTGGCCCTGTGGCTGGATTCACGCAAATCAGGTGGCCTGGAACTGACCCTCCCTTGTCAGAGGCTTAAAATCTGATCAGGACTGGGAAGATACTTCACTTACAAGGGCCTTTAATGTAGGAAAACAATTGGAAGTGATTATGGAGGTTGGGTCACTTGAGATAGGGAGA